AACAAAGCTTGACAAGCGCGTTCCACCACTCACAAAGTAGCAACTCGCAAATGGCCTGTATCCGCCGCAGGATACTTATGCGCCATTATGCAGAGGAAGACGTGCAGGCTCGCGGGAGGCCCGCGCTGTCGTCGTCGTGCGTCGGTGGGTGGCTACAGTCAACCCGTAGCATAACGGCACGAGCACGTAACTTTCGGGAGGTCCTCGCGGACTTCTGGGGCCTCGTCGCTGGACACCCCGACCACCAGGCGCGCGGAGCGCGCTGGAGGAACCACCAGGAGGGTTGGCGGCGCGCGCAGGGGGGGAGGGGGAGGGGGGAAGGCTTCTTGGAAGCACCCTTGCTTCCTAAAAGGCGCGGGGCTTGTCTGTACAGTAGATGTAAGGCCGGCACTTTCTAAGAAGCAGCCTCCTTCTAAGAAGCGTTCCCCCCTCCCCCTACCCCCTCTCCCCCGAACTCAAAGTTGACGGGTTTGGGCGGCAGGCCAAAAAGGCCAGGGACAGAATGTGGACACTTCACCTTCGGGTTTGGGGGGGAAGGGTGCCAAGCAAGGGCATTTCGCAGTTGTGGCTGTTATCATGTTGCATCGCCTTGCCGCCATGGGTGTGGACACTTTTCGTCCGGGCACCGGTCATCGTTGTCCTCGCTGACTGCTGCTCTCCCTTCTGAGCAGGGGCCGTCCGTCCTGACATAGTCCCATCGGCCTACCACGAACTTCTCTCAGAAGAAAGGGATGCATCAAGAACAAGAGTGATGCTCTTGGAGCAGAGAACCGAAGGACTAGGACGAGACTGTTTCAGCCCGAAAGGTCCCAGGAAGGTTACGTGCAAACAGAAAAAGGTTACTAGAACCCTCTTGGGTGGGCCTATCGGCGAGCCAGGACGCTTCGCCACTGCTGGACCCTTCTCCCCACGAGCGGCGAACGTATCCCCGTGCATGCTCGGGTCGTGAAAAATCACAGCGGGAGGTGTTTCGCCGTGTTCGGCATCTGGGGGCCCTCGCCTGGCCCTGGGGAAACGGTCGAGATTTCGAGGGGCCCCGCTGTGTTGCATCCTCGGGCGACCTTGTCTGTCCCGTCGCGGCCCTATCCGCGTCGAATCCGTGTCGAATCCACGTGGGCCTCGTCGGATCAGTGTCGAACCTGTGTCGAATCCGCATCGACTCCACGCTACATCCGCGTCGAGCCCGCATCGGGCCCGCGTCGGGCGCCAGACAAGACCCCGATTTGGGGGACAGGCGAGGCCCCCCGAAGATGCAACGGAACACATCCATGCCCGCGCGGTCTGCATTCCGGGGCGGGATCCCGTGGATGCGCGGTCGACGCCCTGCAGAGGGACATCCGCGAGACAGCGCCCCACATCCGTGGGGTCGCGGCCCAGGGGGCCGGCCCGCGAGGCCGTGGATGTGGGGCACGCTCTCCACCAAGGGACCTCCCTGCTCCCCAGCCCTCCAGCGTGCTGCGAGCATCAGGGCGGAACATGCCCGGCAAAGTTCGGCCTTCGGCCCTGTTGGGAGCCGCCTCCGGGCCGCAGGACCGTCACAAACACTCGTGTCATCGGCGGCGAGGCAGAGGCAGTCCGCACGAGCCACGAGCGTGAGGCTAGTCGGGGCAACCGAATGGCGAATGGTCCGGCGCGCCTGAGGGGGAAAGAGTACGGGGGAGAGGGGAAGCGGAAAGCGCTCAGACGTGGAAGAGCGGGCCGGAGCGGCCGACCGAGGTAGCGGTGACCGAAGGGACCGTCACAAACACGGCACGGGATGGAGGGACTGGCACCCTGGAGAAGAGGTCGAGACTTCTGAGGGCCGCGCAGGCGAAAGTCACGGCATCGGAAGCTAGGGCTTCCCCAGGACGAAGACAAGGAGGGAGAGGGAGGGGGAGGAGAATCAGGAGGAGGACCAGGGCAAACCCAAGACGCATCGACGACGTTGCAACGAACCCTCCCTCCAAGTTCCCTCATCCTAGGTCCCCACAAAAAAATGCCAACGTGCCCTTGAGGCAAGAGTGGGTGTGTCATCAGGTTCTTGGCCTGATCCCTGAAGCCTCAGTCCTCAATCCTGAGGATTCGTTAAGGGGCCCCGACCCCAAAATCACAGATCTCCCGGTGCATGCCCCCTTGGATTACCCGTATCTTGTCGCAAGACTTGTTCGGGCCCAAGAGGGCCCCAAGATGGGCCAACTGGGCCCTTGGAGGCCCCCAAGACGGTTCAAGGGGACCTCGAATCGCCAAACGATCGGTCCAAGACGCCCAAGCTGAAGAGGCGCCCAAGACGCCCCAAGAGAGACCAAATAGGCCTCCCAAGAGGGCCCCAAGAGGAAAAGTCTTCACATTCTTCAAAGAAGACTTACACTATACTGCTTCTCGGCCTCAGGGCGTTCAAGACGGCACAAGAGCCCCCCAAGATCGCCCCAAGACGACCCAACAGGCCCCCACGAAGGCCCCAAGAAGACCCAAGAGGGCTCCAACACTGCCCAAGAGGCGCCCCAGACGGCCCAAGAGAACCCCGAGACGGCCCAAATTGGGGCCCAAGTGGGGAAGCCTGACCCGACAAATCGAGCGTTGCGCCCCAAGAGATACTTTCGCGAGGCCCCAAAAGGCCCCCAAGAGGCCCCCAACACACCTGAAGATTATATTATAGATCCTAAGTACACTACATATACATATACAGATACATCTATAGATATGTGTAGTAGTAGTTCCAGTGCGTGAAGCGTCCCATTAAGAGGCAACCGTCTGATAATACTCAATCGCGCAAAAAAATAGCATTCCTGAGATTTCAGCGCCACCAATCAACGTGATTGTTCCGTCCAGACTCTCCTAAATCGCACCAGAACTCCATTCATGGACGCCAACCCTTGCACTTCAACACTGCAAAGCAACGTGGCTGCCGAGTCCGGTCATCCCTAAATCGTGCCAGAACACCATTTCTAGAGCTTCAACTCTACGAACATCAGTCCTGGGACTGCTGCGAACGTTTAAAACGAATGTCCACGGCGCTACAGCGAGTCCTAGTTTGAAGAGGAATCGACCTCCATCCTCTAAGCTGCTGCAAGCATTACCGACGCCTGTGCGCGGCGCTAAAGGAAGAGCCACCATTTTGAAAACGACCCGCCCTCCATCCTTGAAACGACTGCAAACTGTTCAGACGAATGCTCGCGGCGCTCAGGCGAGAGCCACACTTTGAAAACGGCTCGCCCTCCATCCCTGAAGCGTCTGATAATTGCAAACGTCAGGATCATAAAAGGTGAGGAACTATCAAGCGAGAAGCCAGGCCCGCCCTACGGACACGTCTGGGGCTTCGATTGGGAAAGGTTCGTTAGAAGTAAGATGGATGGATGGAGGAGGAGGAGGAGGAGGAGGAGGAGGAGGAGGAGAGGGGAAGGGGAGGGGCGTCAGGAAGGCGCTGGGATAGAGAGAGGACGGAAGAGGAGAGGAAAAAGAGGGAGGACGGGGGAGGAAGAAGGAGGAGAAGGGAGGGAACGGGGTGGGGAAGGGGGAGGGGTCCTAGGATTCGCCTGCCCTTGCAACTATCAGAGGGAGAGGGCAGGAGGGAGGAAGGCTCCTCCTCCGTCCTTCCCCTCTTCCCTCTCCACCTCCCCCCTCCTCTGGGTCTCCAGAAGTTCATGGAAGTCTCCAGACCAAATGAACCAAGACACGCCAACAACAACAACAACAACAATGTACGTATTTGATCGATCTGTATCGAACCCTCGACCCTCCTCCTCATCCTACTATTGCCCTTCCCTTTCCCCCTCCCTCCAGACCCCCGATGTCGTCCGTGCTTTTCCGATACGGTGTCCCCAGAAGACCCGGCCCCTTCGCCCAGGACCGATTCTTCGTAACGGGCCGCTTTTTGATGGCCCCACGGGCCCAGAACCCACGGGAGGTCGAGATCAAGGAGAAGCGCCAGCACTAAAGAAACCTCGCTGTCGCAGGTATGGGCCACCGTCCCTCTCTCATCTACTCCTCATCCTCCTGCTCCTCCTCCTCATGCATCCTCCTCCTCCTCCTCCTCCTCCTCATGCTCCTCCTCCTCCTCCTCCTCCTCCTCCTCCTCCTCCTCCTCCTCCTCCTCCTCATGCATCCTCCTCCTCATGCCTCCTCCTCCTCCTCCTCCTCCTCCTCCTCCTCCTCCTAACCATCACCATCATCAACATCAGCATCATCAACAACAACATCGTCATCATCATCATCATCATCATCATCATCATCATCATCATCATCATCATCATCATCAGCATCATCATCATCATCATCATCATCATCAGCATCATCATCATCAGCAGCATCATCATCGTCATCATCAGCATCATCATCATCATCAGCATCATCATCATCAGCATCATCGTCAGCAGCAGCAGCGACATGATCATCATCATCATCATCAGCATCAGCATCATCGTTAGAAGCATCATCAGCAGCATCAGCATCAGCATCAGCATCAGCATCAGCATCAGCATCAACTGCATCATCATCAGCAGCAGCAGCATCACAATCATCATCATCATCAGCATCATCAACATCATCATCATCAGCATCATCATCAGCATCATCATCTTCAACGACATCGTCATCATCATCATCGTCATCATCATCAGCATCATCATCAGAATCAGCATCATCATCGTCAGCAGCAGCAGCAGCATAATCATCATCATCAGCATCATCATCGTCATAAGCATCATCATTAGCATCAGCATCAGCATCAGCATCAACTGTATCATCATCATCATCATCATCATCATCAGCAGCATCATCATCAGCAGCATCATCAGCATCATCATCAGCATAATCATTATCAGCATCATCAACATCATCATCACCATCATCACCAGCAGCAGCAGCATCATCCGCCTCCCCCTCCTCCTCCTCCTCCCCCTCCTCCTCCTCCTCCTCCTCCTCCTCCTCCTCCTCCTCCTCCTCCTCCTCCTCCTCCTCCTTCTCTTCCTCCTCCTCCTCCTCCTCCTGCTCCTCCCCCTCGTCCCCCTCGTCCCCCTCGTCCTCCTCCTCCCCCTCCTCCTCCTCCCCCTCATCCTCATTCTCGTCCCCCTTCTGCTCCTTCTCTGCCTCCTCCTCCTCCTCCTTGTCCTCCTCCTCCTCCTCCTCCTCCTCCACCTCCTCCTCCTCCGCCTCATCCTCCTCCTTCTTGACAGTCTGGCGGGGGTCCCTGGAGAACGAAGATCTACAAAAACCTCCTGTCGTGTTTTTGTCGCGATGCCGAGTGTGCATCCCATGTGTCAGGATGGGGGGAGGGTCGCCGGTCGTTGGAGGGTCCGAGATGGCCAAAGATGGCTCCAAGAGGGCCTCAGAAAGCCCAAGAAGGCACAACATAGCTGAGGCTGGCTCACGTATACATAGCCTCCCAATGTTGAGGCTTCGGGTAGTGTGCAGACAGCCCCCCCAACGAGTCCGGGCCGGCCTCAGCAGGCCCCCCGATCAGTCCCGGCTGGCCTCGACAGGTCCCCCGAGAGTATAGTCCAGGGCGGTCACAAGACCTCAACCTATAGACGAAGAAACAACGGCGTAAGCACAAACTTTTGGCGCTCTGCGCGGATTTCTTGGATCTGCGCAGGACCCCCCCCTCCCTGGCGCGCGGAGCGCGCCGGGGAAGGCGCCGGAGGCGCAGCCAGGCGGCCCCAGCGCCGAGCCAAGAAATCCGCGCGGAGCGCCAACAGCTTATGTTCGTCGGTGTTTCTTCTTCGGCAGCCCTGACACGCGGAGAGCCCCAGGGGCGCCGCCAGAGGCGGCGCGGGAGAGTGGAGCCCGCCCTGGGCTGCTCGGGGAGGGCCCGACGAGGCCCGCTTGGACTGCCTATTGGGGAGGGGGGGGGGGGGGGGCTGCTCGTGCGCGGCCCCGAGGCCACACCAGGAGCTCCAGGACCGCCCCCAGACTGATGAGCCGATTTCCCATCACCCCTGCCACAGGGAGGAGGAGGAGGAGGAGGAGGAGGAGGAGGAGGAGGAGGAGGAGGAGAAGGAGGAGGACCTCCCCATCCTGCCTTCTCCCCCGTCCTGCCTCTGGCAGTGGTGGTGGGAGTTCGGCCCATCAAAGACGAGTCCTGCCCGGAGGGGGGGGAAGCTTCACGCAGGCTCGCCGGGAGGACCGCGATCTCCAGCCCAGGGGGCGGGCGGGCGGGCGGGCGGGGGGGGGGAGCAGCCTCGCTCTCCACTCGGCGCGGGGCGTCAGGCTCCCCGTTCCTCGAGGGGGGGAGGGGGGAGGGAGGGAGGGAGAGAGAGAAGGGAGAGCGAGAGAGAGAGAGAGAGAAAGAGAGAGATGCCGAGGCGGAGGGAGAGAAGGGGGGCCCTGAGATCCTGGTCCCACATGTTTTTCGCAACGGGCGTTCCCGCCGGGCTTCGGGCCCCCGGGGCCATCACGTATCGATGCGGCTCGAAAAGAGCCGCAGCAAGATGGGGTCTAGGGCTCTTGTCGTGACTATTATTGCGACGTCGGTTCTGTTGCGCAACGTCGGATCTTAGGGGACCGAGGGGAGGGGAGGGGAGGAGGAGAGGAAGGAAGAGGAGGGGGAAGAAGAGGAGCAGACGCTGAGTAAGGAGAAGACGGAGAAAGCGGTGAAGGAAAGGAGAGAAGGAGAAGGATCAGCAGAGAGCAGAAGGGAGGGCAAGGGAGTAATGACGTGGAGGAGAGAGCAGCCAGCGTTGGGCGCAGCAGGAGACTATGTGGAGGAGGGAGGAGGAGGAGGAGGAGGAGGAGGAGGAGGAGGTGGAGGAGGAGGAGGAGAGCCTGCCAGGTCTGAAGAAGCCTGCCTCGACGCTCATTGACGTGCGGCGCGTTTGTGAAAACCGCCTGCGCCACCGCGTGAGCTCGGGGAGGCTACGAGAAATCTCCCTGAGGCGGAGCAGCAGCAGCAGGGGGCGGGTGAGCGGAAGCCGAGGGGACCAGGATGGCCGACTGAGCTGCCAGGTCTTCGAGCGGGCCGCCATTTGACAGACCGTCGGGGCTGGAGTAAGACCTGCCAAGACGCCCCCCCCAAAGAACTCCTCCCCTTCACATCACATTCCGAAGGTACGGTGCAGGACAAAGCGACAGCCGCTGGTCGGAAGCAGTCGGTAGAAGCATGAAGCAGGAAGGCGTTGGAAGTAGATTGGGCTCCCGCCCGCCCTCTGAAGAGGACCCAGACATGCGACGTCCTGATTGTTTGCAGGACGGCGTCCCCAGAAGTTCAGACCCTTTCCCTGGGGCCGGTTGTTCCTCCTGAATCGCTTTTTTGACGGTCACGAGGCCCAGCGAGGGCCCCCGAGGCCGAAATTGACCAAAAACCTCCCGTCCTGATTTTGTTTTACGACGCGAAGAATGCCTGGGGAGGGGAGAGGGAAAACCGCTCGACTCTGGAAGTAGGAAGGCGCCTAAAGTAGACTGGGATCTGGGAACCCCCCGAAAAGAAATACCGACCGACGGCCTGGCACCGCCCGCTCCACGTGATCGGACGCCGTCGAAAATGCTCGGACCGACCTCCTCCTCCTCCTCCTCCTCCTCCTCCTCCTC